GTGCTTTAATAATAAATTGAAAAGAAGCAAAGTAGTGGATAACCATCTATAAAAGACTGAACCTGGACCTGCACATTTCACCGTTTACAAAAATTGATTCAAGATAGATAAAAGATTTAAATTCAAGACATGAAGCAATAAAATTCCTAGAAAGTGTAGGTAAAACTCTTGATGATGTCTGCCTAGAGAAAGATTTTATGGAGAAGACTTCAGTGGCACTTGCAACAACAACAAGAACAAAAATAAACAAATGGGACTTAATTAAACTAGAAAGCTTCTGCACAGCTACGGACACAAAAAACCAAAGGGAAAAGAGCAACCTTCATAGTGGGAAAAGATATTTGCATGTTATGAATGAGACAAAAGATTGATAACTAGAATCTATAGAGAATTCAAATTAATCAACAGAAAAAGAGCAAAGAATTCCACCTGTCACTGGGAAAGAGATGTGAACAGAACCTTCTCTGAGGAAGACAGATGAATGGCTAACAAACGTGAAAAAATGCTCATCATCCCTAAGTACCAGAGAAATGCAAATCCAAAACCACCCTGAGGTACCACTTAACCCAGTGAGAATAGCCCACATTACAGTCTCAAAGCTTCAGCTGCTGGTGTGGAGGCAGAAAGGAACACTTCTACACTGCTGGTGGGACTGCATCTAAGACAGCCTCTTTGGAAGAAGTTTGGTCTAATTCAAATTAGACCTCCTATTTGATCCTGAAATCACATTACTAGGCATCTACCCAGAAGAACAAAAATCATTTTATCCTAAGGACATTTCCACTAGATTATTTATTGCAGCTTAATTTACAATCACCAAGATGTAGAAACAACCTAAATGCCTACCAACCAAGAAATGAATTAACAAACTGTGGTATATGTATGCCATGGAGGAATATTCAGTCATAATCACTGTTGTACGTGGATGCATGTAGTAAGGTAGCACAAGCAAGAAGGGTCAAGTGATCTTTGTTTCCACTTACAGGGACAGGTGGTTCAACAGATAAAACCATCCTCTGGGCTTGAGGACCAGATTTCTCCCCTTGGTCATCTAACAGTTTCTCCCAATTCTCAGAAGCTGGGTAAGAAACCAGGCCGGTCAACGCCACTAGCAACTTCTGCTCCGGCTTCCCTCCCATCACAGAGGCCAACTCTTGCATTTGCTGACTGTGGTGGCGCCACCATCCTGAGGACCCAAATATGCTCCAGGCACTGTGCAAAGGACCAGTTTACACCATCTCACTTTATTCTTACTGTGGCCCACTGGGACATCAGGTCATTAAAAACTTGGACCAAATCACATAGCCAGTCAGGAACAAAGATAGGACGCCCAGATGGGAATCTGAATCTGTTCTCAGCACAGTACTAAAGGCCTGAAACCCGGCACTGTAACACTGGCTGAGAAGGCGTGAAAAGACCCCCTGGGGAGCAGAGCAGCCGGGAGGTGCCCTGGCGGCCCGTATCTCTCCATCTCCAGCGCTATCGCCTTTCTGGGTTTTTTACAGCTTGTCATTGAGGGCGAGCACGATGTTCCCGAGTGGCAAGAAGTCCTCCTCGGTTCAGGGTGGCTGCTGGAGAAGCCTCGTGACTCCTTAACCTGCTGCTGCCAGAGCCGCACCAGGGCCAGAATTAGTCTATAGCTCAGGCTGCCCCGGGCGGGCGCAGCTCAGGGACCACACTGCCTGCCTGCCTTGGCTGCGCCTTGAAATCCAGGCCTGGCTCCGCTCCGCACACCTGGTCCTGGCCGCTAAGGGCTCATGGTACCTCTCTGGCCAGGTACCGGTGGCGCTCACGAGGCAGTGACCAGTGTTACCAAGTGTCAAAGCTCTTCTCCCTCTTTTTCTTTTTTATGACAGTAGCAAAGGTTTCCACATATTTAATTTAATCCTCAGAACAACCCTATGGAGTAGGTTCCTATCAACTCCACAAATGAGAAAACGTAACCACCAAGAGGTTAGTTAAGATGCCTCAGGTCATATAGCCAGAATGTGGTGGAGCCAGGTGTACCCGGAGATGGTGACACCTAGGGGCTACTTTCTGATCGATTCCTATGTATCACTGCCCTTTGGAAATATACTTGGCAAAACTTTAAAACAGTGAAATAGAATTTCTTATCCCAGCTGGGTCCAGATTATGCTCAACACTAAAATGGTTTAGTTGGTGTGCATGGAATCATACCATCTGCGCAACAGTTAGCTGAGATGTGTAATACATTTTCCAATAGCTTATAATCTTTCAAAAAGTACACCCAGTGTCATGTGTGTGTGTGAGTCATTTTTTTTCATGCTTCTTTCATTCTTACACAATAGACAACTTTCCTGGGTCCAAGAAAATCTCCAACATGGAAAGCTTGAGATTCAAGGCTGTCGTGTCCTTTGAATGTCAGAAGAGATGTCTGGTGGAAGAGGTGTAACATTAAAAAAAAAAAAAGAGCCATTTCCTTTCAAAGTGTGAAGCAAGTTAGGCAGAAAACATCACAGCCTGACATCAACAAACCTTCTACCTCTAGGTCTCTTCACAACTAACCACGCTCATCTCAGGTCTCTACAAAATGCCTGCGTATTTTTGGTTGTAAAGTGTTTCCAGTGAATTTCACAAAACAAATAAATGAAACAAGCCTGTGTTGTTGTTCCGAAGAACTCCAGTCTATTACAACGAGGGGAACACCTGCTTAACAAATATTCTGGGTGATAAATCACAGAAGGCTGCATTAATCAGGGCAGCCTAAAGCTGGTGAGTGCAATTATGGATGTGTCACCCTAGGGAAATCGCCTGATCAAGGCTCCTCAAACCCCAGCATAAACATCCCTGTAAACCTCAAATTCTTGCCCAAAGACGATTGCACCTAATTTGGGGACTTAGAACGTTTTGTCCTTAGGGTATTGAAAGGCTTCTGGCAGGGCTTTATCCAATATCCACAGTAATGAAGCCTTGTTCTGCGAGCTCTATTAATGGCGCGATGATGGAGTGCCTCCACTACCAATTGGGAGCAGTCTTCACACATCACAAGTGAAAAGAAACAAAAACAGAAACAAAACTTGAGTCTTAGCTTCTCCTATTCTCATATATTGTAGTTTTTCACCAATAAATGGGTGGAAGTGAGAGCTGTATCTCCCCATTAATATAAATGCCTATACTTACCTTAGTTGATTGTTTTAAATGTTTAACTGTTAGATCACTATTTCAAAAACTATGAACAAATGAATATATTTAAGTCTAAAATGTGAAGAATTAAACAATTATTATTGAATTTTTTTTGGATTATGCATCTCACTGGTAATTGACACAGATGTTAGCTATGATATTATCATCCTTAAAATATTTTCTTATTTTTCCTAGATCAAAAAAATTAGGGAAATCCATGTGGGTGTTGAAATATTCATAGCTGCTGAGTCCTGATGGCTCATGCCTATAATCTCAGCACTTTAAGAGATCAAAGTGGGAGGATTGCTTGAGGTCGGGAGTTTGAGATCAGCACAGGCAACATAGCCAGATTCTGTAAAAAAAAAAAAAAAAAAAAAAAAAAATTAGCTAGGCATGGTAGTACAGACTCAATCATAGTCTCAGGTATGGGGTGGCTGAGTCAGTGGGACCACTTAAGCCTTGAAGTTAGAGGTTACAATAAACTATGATTGAGTTGCTGCACTCCAGCCTGGGCAACAGAATGTGACCTGTTCTGAAAAAAAAAATTAAATTAAAAAATAAAAAGATATATATATATATATATATATATATATATGTCAAGCATGGTAGCTCATGCCTGTAATCCGGGAAGCCAAAGCAGAAAGATTACTTGACCTTGACCTTCAGGAGTTCATTACCAGCCTGACCAACGGTGAGACTCTGTCTCTACTAAAAGGACAAAAATCAGGCCAGGTGTCATGGCCTCACCTGTAGTTCCAGCTACTTGAGAGGCTCAAGCAGGATGATGGCTTGAGCTCAGGAGTTTGAGATTGCAATGGGCTATGATGAGCCCACTGCACTCTTAGCTGGCAGCTGGTGTGGCAAGTGAGGCTCTATCTGAAATAAAAAACCAACTAACAATACTAATAATTTCAAGGGCTAGGTCAGTTTTCCTCTGCCAAAGCTCTCCTGCATGTTACACTCTGCGTTGTGTGAAAACACACGTCCCCCACCCCTTCTCCCACGGTTTTGTCCTGTCAGCACACAGCCGACCTCACAATGCCGCCTGGCACTGTTTATTAGCACTTTATGTGTGCTTACCATCTTACCCTAGTTCCCGCTAATAACTGTTAAGTCCCTTTGGGACAAGAATTACCACAGTTTTGTGTTTTCATTGTTTTTATTCCATCTTACACTCAATTTACATTTGATAAGTAATTAAATTTTCAAGAAAATTGGTGCCACTTTTGCTTTTGGATAATATGGAATACTAAATTAGAAGATGGCATACTTCTAGAAAGAGTTGCCAGAGTAGGAGAAAAAGATTTCTGTCTGAACTAGGTTTAGATCCCCATGACAAAAAAGATGAAGAAGAGAAAAACATCTACATAATATTTTTATGTAGAAGATTATTTTCAATAGAAGTTCTATGTGAGTGACATGGGAGATGTCAGAAATGAAGACCCAGAGAAACCTGGAAAAAGAGCCTTGTTACGCTCAGGTTTGGTGCAGAGGAGATGGTCATGCAGAAGTGGAACTGGATGGAAGAGAGTATGACCTCATGGTGACATACTCGGGTGACATGGCAGGGCCTGTTTGTTCAGATTCTTGGCCTCTCCATGTGACATTCCCCCTTTCTGGGTTTAGGAGAAGACACCTGTCACACAAGGGTCTTCCAGGGAGCTAGTCAAAGAGTGGTCTCTCTAGGTTGATGGCCTGTTTCAGGGGAGAAGGGTGAGAGGAAGCTGAGAGGGGCCTTCCTGCTTCTGTTGTTTTCTCAATACCAAGGTGTCACATTTGGAGTAGCATTTTTTTTTTTTTTTGCATGCCATCACCAGTGTGTTTATAAATTTAGTTTATAACAAAATCAACATTGCATACTTAACCTGGCAGGGGAGATACCATGATCACAAAAGTGGATTTCCCAGGGCAAGGCTTATCCATTGCCCTCTGGTGTGCTGACTTCTGCAAACGTCCCAAATGTGAGACTGCATAATTTGTGGGAGTGGGGGACGGTTTTCAGGTTTTCACACTCTCCTCTGTTACAAAAAATAGCAAAAAAAAAAAAAAAAAAAAAAAAAAATCAACTTTTCAGTTTAGCAGGAAAGATGATTTATTTAATAAATAAGGGCAGCAAATTGTTCTCCATCT